GGTGTCAGTGTTTGGCTTTTATCAGTGGTGGGCTGGTATCAGCGTCGGGCTGGTATCAGCGTCGGGCTGGTGTCAGTGCTGGGTTGGTGTCAGTGTCTGGCTTTTATCAGTATTGGCCCCCCGACTGACCCCCCCCCCGACTGACCCCAGAGACATTACTGAGCAGAGTCCATTACAGACTGTGCTACGCAGAAGCGGCCCCCCCGACTGAGCCCCCGACTGACCCCCCGACTGACCTCAGAGACATTGCTGAGCAGAGTCCATTACAGACTGTGCTAGACAGATGCGGCCCCCCGACTAGCCCCCCGACTGAGCCCCCCGACTGATCCCCCCGACTGACTAGAGCCCCCCGACTGCCCCTCCCCCCGACTGAGCCCCCCGACTGACCCCCCGACTGAGCCCAGAGACATTGCTGAGCAGAGTCCATTACAGACTGTGCTAGACAGATGCGGCCCCCCGACTAGCCCCCCGACTGACCCCCCCCCCCGACTGAGCCCCCCGACTGAGCCCCCCCCCCCCCGACTGACCCCCCGACTGAGCCCCCCCGACTGAGCCTAGAGACATCGCTGAGCAGAGTCCCGTATTCCGGCAGGGGGCGCTCTCTTTGTCTTCCTGACCGTTTTGTATGTTTGATTCAGACTTTGTCCCTCTTTAGTGAATTGGAAGTTCCATCTCCTCTCCCCGATCATCCAGAAGACGATCCGTTCCGCTGCAACCCCCCCCCCCGTGACAACAATCTAGCAGCCACTTTCCTTCATGATGCCGGTCACTGCAGGATGGTGGCTACAAATCTGTGCCTGTTCCTTCAGCAGCATTACATGGCTCCAGGATCACCAGTTGTCACCATTATCACCATTGATCCCTCTCTGACCGACTGCGTCAAAGTGATCCCCCTCTCTGACCGACTGCGTCAAAGTGATCCCTCTCTGACCAACTGCGTCAAAGTGATCCCTCTCTGACCGACTGCGTCAAAGTGATCCCTCTCTGACCGACTGCGTCAAAGTGATCCCTCTCTGACCAACTGCGTCAAAGTGATCCCTCTCTGACCAACTGCGTCAAAGTGATCCCCTCTCTGCGTCAAAGTGATCCCTCTCTGAACTGCGTCAAAGTGATCCCTCTCTGACCAACTGCGTCAAAGTGATCCCTCTCTGACCGACTGCGTCAAAGTGATCCCTCTCTGACCAACTGCATCAAAGTGATCCCTCTCTGACCAACTGCGTCAAAGTGATCCCTCTCTGACCGACTGCGTCAAAGTGATCCTTCTCTGACCGACTGCGTCAAAGTGATCCCTCTCTGACCAATGGTGTCAAAGTGATCCCTCTCTGACCAACTGCGTCAAAGTGATCCCTCTCTGACCGACTGCGTCAAAGTGATCCCTCTCTGACCAATTGTGTCAAAGTGATCCCTCTCTGACCGACTGCGAGTGATGCGTCAAAGTGATCCCTCTGACCGACTGCGTCAAAGTGATCCTTCTCTGACCAACTGCGTCAAAGTGATCCCTCTCTGACCGACTGCGTCAAAGTGATCCCTCTCTGACCAACTGCGTCAAAGTGATCCCTCTCTGACCAACTGCGTCAAAGTGATCCCTCTCTGACCAACTGCGTCAAAGTGATCCCTCTCTGACCAACTGCGTCAAAGTGATCCCTCTCTGACCAACTGCGTCAAAGTGATCCCTCTCTGACCGACTGCGTCAAAGTGATCCCTCTCTGACCAACTGCGTCAAAGTGATCCCTCTCTGACCAACTGCGTCAAAGTGATCCCTCTCTGACCAACTGCGTCAAAGTGATCCCTCTCTGACCAACTGCGTCAAAGTGATCCCTCTCTGACCAATTGTGTCAAAGTGATCCCTCTCTGACCGACTGCGTCAAAGTGATCCCTCTCTGACCGACCGACTGCGTCAAAGTGATCCTTCTCTGACCGACTGCGTCAAAGTGATCCCTCTCTGACCAACTGCGTCAAAGTGATCCCTCTCTGACCGACCGACTGCGTCAAAGTGATCCCTCTCTGACCAATTGTGTCAAAGTGAACACTTGGCGAGGAATGTTTACTCCTCGTGGCATTTAATGGCGTCCTCCCCTCCCCCACATACTGCACCGCGTCCTCCCCTCCCCCACACGCTGCACCGCGTCCTCCCCTCCCCCACATGCTGCACCGCGTCCTCTTCCTGTCTGCGCTGCTTTATGTGATGTCATCAGCAGGTCAGCGGCGGCCTGTAAACGCGACTATTAGTGTCCTGCAGATTCCATTCCCCCTGATGGTGGCCCATTGGCCTGCCTGCCCCCCCATCCCCCACCATACACTGTACTCGGCCAATAGGCAGGCTCGCTCCCATCAGTAAAGCTGAAACCCCCAAATGATGGCGGCTCTGTAACCTCTAATAATGACTCCGACCTCCTATCAGCCTCTCAGAGTCCTCGGACAGCAGAGCTCCAACTGAACAGAGAGAAGCCGCACAAGGAACCAATCAGCTGTGCTGCAGTCATGCTGACAGGAGGAGAGAGCAGAGGGACAGAGAGAAGAGCTCCTCAGTCGTCTGCTTCTCCTTTCACTACAGGGTGGGGTTGAAAGGGGACCTGTATGTGAAAGTGAAACTGCAGCGAAGTTTCTGACCCCCTACCCTGATAGACAGGGCTCTGATGTGGAGCAGAGATGTGTAAATCTCAGGACTGGATAGACAGGGTATCCGCGGTCTGTGTGGAGTTCAATGCCATCACATGGATATATGGCGGATTACCAGCCCTTCAATGTGGCGGCTGCATTCGTTTTCTTCTTTCAGCTCAGAACATTAACTGCAAATACAGAAACGTCCTGTTGATGCTGAATAAACTGTGCTTAGCAGCCTTTCCAGATGTGGACTACAGAACACCTCCCACCATGTAAAGGGGATGGGGAGAGGATTTTCAGTCAGACTCTTAATCCTCTTGTCCTCGTGTGACAACACTGTTCCCCTATAGAGACAGTACAGCGAGTGTTGTCACCCTGAGACAGGAAGTGTGTCACTGGCAGGAAATGAAGGATACAAGTCTTCTCCCTGCGCTAACCTTCTGCCTGTCCCCAAGAGACCGCTCCAAGAGACTGCTCCTAGGGACCGCTACTAGGGACCACTCCAAGAGACTGCTCCTAGGGACCGCTACTAGGGACTGCCCCACGAGACCGCTCCTAGGGACCGCTACTAGGGACTGCCCCACGAGACCGCTCCAATAGACTGCTCCTAGGGACCGCTCCAAGAGACCGCTCCTAGGGACCGCTACTAGGGACCGCTACTAGGGACTGCCCCCGAGACCGCTCCAAGAGACCACTCCAAGAGACCGCTCCAATAGACTGCTCCTAGGGACCGCTCCAATAGACCGCTCCTAGGGACCGCTAGGGACCGCCTAGGGATGCCCCGAGACTGCTCCTAGGGACCACTCCAAGAAACTGCTCCAAGAGACCGCTCCTAATAGACTAGGGCTCCTAGGGACCGCTGCCCCAATAGACTGCTCCTAGAGAGACCGCTCCAATAGACTGCTCCTAGGGACCGCTCCAATAGACTGCTCCTAGGGACCGCTAGACTGCTCCTAGGGACCGCTCCCTGCTCCAATAGACCGCTGACTGCCCTAGGGACCGCTCCAAGAAACTGCTCCTAGGGACCGCTCCAATAGACTGCTCCTAGGGACCGCTCCAATAGACTGCTCCAATCCTAGGGACTGCTCCTAGGGACCGCTCCAACTGACTGCTCCTAGGGACCGCTACTAGGGACTGCCCCCGAGACCGCTCCAAGAGACCGCTCCTAGGGACCGCTCCAATAGACTGCTCCTAGGGGGACCGCTCCAATAGACTGCTCCTAGGGACCGCTCCAATAGACCTGCTCCTAGGGACCGCTCCAACTGCTCCTAGACCGCTCCAATAGGGACTGCTCCTAGGGACCGCTCCAACCGCTCCAATAGACTGCTCCTAGGGGACCGCTCCAATAGACTGCTAGGGACCGCTCCTAGCTCCAATAGACTGCTCCTAGGGACCGCTCCAATAGACTGCTCCTAGGGACCGCTCCAAGAGACTGCTCCTAGGGGACCGCTCGCTCCAAGAGACTGCCCCTAGGGACCGCTCCAATAGACTGCTCCTAGGGACCGCTCCAATAGACCTGCTCCTAGGGACCGCTCCAACCGCTAGACTGACCCCTAGGGACTGCTCCAATAGACTGCTCCTAGGGACGCCGCTCCAATAGACTGCTCCTAGGGACCGCTCCAATAGAGACTAGGGACCGCTCCAATAGACTGCCCCTAGGGACCAATAGACTGCTCCAATAGACTGCCCCTAGGGACTGCCCCAAGAGACCGCTCCTAGGGACCGCTCCAAGAGACTAGGGACCCCCAAGAGACCGCTCCAACAGACTGCTCCTAGGGACCGCTCCAGAGCTCCTAGGGACTGCTGCCCCTCCAAAAGACCGCTCCAAGAGACTGCTCCAAGAGACTGCTCCTAGGGACTGCTCCAATAGACTGCTCCTAGGGACCTCTCCAATAGACTGCCCCCAAGAGACTACCTCCAAGAGACTGCTCCTAGGGACCGCTCAAAGAGGCTGCTCCAAAGCTCCAAGACTGCTCCTAGGGAGCGCATTAAGGACTCCAATAGACTCGAAGGGCCTGCTCCAAGAGACTGCTCCAAGGGCCAGCTTCAAGAGACTGCCCCTAGGGATCGCTTCAATTGACTCCTCCTAGGAACCACTCCAAGAGACGCCTTCAAGGGCCCATGACGCTCCAAGAGACTGCTCCTAGGGCCCCCGCAAGAGATCAAGAGATTGCTCCAAGAGCCCGCTCCAAGAGACTGCTGCAAGACTGTGCCCGCTCCAATAGACCACTCCAATTGACTGTTCCTAGGGACCATTCCAAGAGACTGCCCCTAGGGACGGCTTCGATTGGGCCCGCTCCAATAGACTGCCCCTAGGGACTCGGCTCGATTGACTCCTCTGAACCGCTCCAAGAGACTCCTCCAAGGGACCGCATCAAAAAAAAACTGCTCCTAGGCACCGCTCCAACAGACTGCTCAAAGACCGACCGCTCCTAGGGACCGCATTAAGAAACGACTCCAAGAGACCGCTCCAATAGATTGCTGCAAAGGACTGCTCTATGGGGCCACTCTAAGAGATATGGCTCATGCTCAGGTATGATCTGGTCTCAGGTCCGCTCTTCAATCTATCCTGAATTCTGCAGCCAGACTCATCCACCTTACCAACCGCTCCGTATCCTGCTCCCTCCCCTCTCTGCCAAGACCCTCCACTGAGCCTCCACTCGGTGTCCTCCCACCCCCCTCTGCCAATCCCTCCACTGGCCTCCATTCAGTGTCCTCCACCCCTCTCTGCCAATCCCTCCACTGGCCTCTATTCAGTGTCCTCCACCCCTCTCTGACAATCCCTCCACTGGCCTCCATTCAGTGTCCTCCACCCTCTCTGACAATCCCTGCTCCACTGGCCTCCATTCAGAGTCCTCCATGCCTGCTCCTCTCTGCCAATTCCCTCTACTGGCCTCCAATCAGTGTCCTCCACCCCTCTCTAGGGACAATCCCTCCACTGGCCGCCATTCAGTGTCCTCCACCCCTGCTCTAGCCAATCCCTCCAACTGGCCTCCATCCTAGTGTCCTCCACTCCAAGAGACCCCCCTCTGTCATGGGGCCCATGGCTCACGCGCTCACTGGCTTCCATTTCAGTGTCCTCCTCCCCTCTCTGCCAATCCCTCCACTGGCCTCCATTCAGTGTCCTCCACCCCTCTCTGCCAATCCCTCCACTGGCCTCCACTCAGTGTCCTCCACCCCTCTCTGCCATCCCTCCACTGGCCTCCATTCAGTGTCCTCCACCCCTCTCTGCCAATCCCTCCACTGACCTCCATTCAGTGTCCTCCACCCCCCTCTGTCATTCCCTCCACTGGCCTCCATTCAGTGTCCTCCACCCCCCTCTGCCAATCCCTCCACTGACCTCCATTCAGTGTCCTCCACCCCCCTCTGTCATTCCCTCCACTGGCCTCCATTCAGTGTCCTCCACCCCCTCTCTGCCAATCCCTCCACTGACCTCCATTCAGTGTCCTCCACCCCCCTCTGTCATTCCCTCCACTGGCCTCCATTCAGTGTCCTCCACCCCCCTCTGCCAATCCCTCCACTGACCTCCATTCAGTGTCCTCCACCTCCCTCTGTCAATCCCTCCACTGGCCTCCATTCAGTGTCCTCCACCACTCTCTGCCAATCCCTCCACTGGCCTCCATTCAGTGTCCTCCACCACTCTCTGCCAATCCCTCCACTGGCCTCCATTCAGTGTCCTCCACCCCTCTCTGCCAATCCCCTCACTGGCCTCCATTCAGTGTCCTCCACCTCCCTCTGTCATTCCCTCCACTGGCTCCTGATTGCCCAACGCATAAAATTCAAACTTCTAACACTGACATACAAAGCCATTCACAGCGCCGCCCCGAACTACCTCACCGACCTGATACCCAAATACCACCCAACCCGTACTCTTCGCTCCTCACAGGACCTCCTACTCTCCAGTTCCCTGGTCTCCACCTCCCACGCCCGACTGCAGGACTTCTCCAGGGCTTCCCCCATCCTCTGGAACTCACTACCCCAATCCATCAGACTGTCACCTTCCCTCCTCACCTTTAGGCGCTCCCTAAAAAACCCATCTCTTCAGGGAAGCCTACCCCACCCTCACCTAACAGCCGATCTCCTCCACTCCTCCTACCACTCCATCCCCCACAGCCACTTCCTCCTGTACCACCATCCCCTCCCTCCTAGATTGTAAGCTCCCAGGATCAGGGCCCTCCCCCCCCTCGTGTATTGTATTGTTACTGTCTTGTCTCATGTTCTGTCCCCCTATAATGTACAGCGCTGAGCGAACCTTCTGCCGCCATATAAATCCTCTATAATAATAATAATACTCCGCTCTCAGGTATGCTTCACGCTCAGGTATACTCTGGTCTCAAAGCATACCCAAGATGCACCACTGTGCACCATAGTCCACCAAAAGTACTCCATAGTCCACCATAGTGCACAATAAGCCATCATAGTCCACCAAACGCCATTACAGTCCATCATAGTCCACCAAAGGCCATCATAGTCCACCAAAGGCCATTACAGTCCATCATAGTCCACCAAAGGCCATCATAGTCCACCAAAGGCCATTACAGTCCATCATAGTCCACCAAAGGCCATTACAGTCCATCATAGTCCACCAAAGGCCATTACAGTCCATCATAGTCCACCAAAGGCCAGTCCATCATAGTCCACCAAAGGCCATTACAGTCCATCATAGTCCACCAAAGGCCATCATAGTCCACCAAAGGCCATTACAGTCCATCATAGTCCACCAAAGGCCATTACAGTCCATCATAGTCCACCAAAGGCCATCATAGTCCACCAAAGGCCATTACAGTCCATCATAGTCCACCATAGGGTTGCTAACTTCATCCCTTTAAAACCAAACAAAACATATTAATGACACGGGTTCTAAATCTAATTTAATGCAGATAAGGCACTATGGTGTCCGTTTGTGAACCAGCGGTAATAGATCGCTGCTCAGTTCTCCAGCATTCTCGGAGAACACAGTTCTCCTGTGAATGCAGTTTATGAAGCAGTTCTCCGAACGAAGGGAGAACGATCTCCAAACGCTGGAGAACGGTCTACAAACTCTGAAAAACGGCTCATTTTACTATAATCTCTCCAGATTACAGTAAAAGATCAGTTTACTAAATAGAGGTAAACTATCTCTGCTTAGTTTTCGGTCCCTCTGATTCTCCAGCTCTGGGCTGGAGAATCTGGAGGGAGAACACAGATCTCCAGAGAAGGGCTGACATGATCTCCTGAGTGTCATAAACTGTGAATGACCAGAGAATAGCTGAGATCTGTTGAATCGCTTCTATTCTCTGTGTCATAAATGGACACCTTAGCAAGTTTAATTACCACCTTAATCAGCCCCAGAACCTGTGTAACTAATATGTCTTCAGTTTTAAAGGGATGAGGTGGCAACCCTAGTCCACAATAGTCCATCAAAGGCCATTATAGTCCATCACAGTGCACCATAGTCTATCATAGTCCACCACAGTCCATCCCAGTGCACCATAGTTCACCACAGTCCATTATAGTTCCTCATAGTCCACTCCAATCCATCATACTCCACCATATCCCTACCATAGTCCATCATAATCCCTCATACTCAACCATAATCCATCATAATCCACTATAGTCCACCACAATCCACCACAGTCCATCGTAGTCAACCATAATCCACCACAGTCCATCCTAGTCCACCACAGTCCATCGTAGTCCACCGCAGTCCGACATAGTCCACCACAATCCACTGCAGTCCATCCTAGTCCACCGCAGTCTGTCATAGTCCACCACAATCCACCACAGTCCATCCTAGTCCACCGCAGTCCGTCATAGTCCACCACAATCCACCACAGTCCATCCTAGTCCACCGCAGTCCATTATAGTCCACCACAATCCACCATAGTCCATCCTAGTCCACCACAGTCCATCCTAGTCCACCACAGTCCATCCTAGTCCACCACAGTCCATCGTAGTCCACCGCAGTCCGACATAGTCCACCACAATCCACCGCAGTCCATCCTAGTCCACCGCAGTCTGTCATAGTCCACCACAATCCACCACAGTCCATCCTAGTCCACCGCAGTCCGACATAGTCCCACACAATCCACCGCAGTCCATCCTAGTCCACCGCAGTCTGTCATAGTCCACCACAATCCACCACAGTCCATCCTAGTCCACCGCAGTCCCATAGTCCACCACAATCCACCACAGTCCATCCTAGTCCACCGCAGTCCATTATAGTCCACCACAATCCACCATAGTCCATCCTAGTCCACCACAGTCCATCCTAGTCCACCACAGTCCATCCTAGTCCACCACAGTCCATGCTAGTCCACCGCAGTCCGTCATAGTCCACCACAATCCACCACAGTCCATCCTCCACCGCAGTCCATTATAGTCCACCACAATCCACCACAGTCCATCCTAGTCTACCACAGTCCATCCTAGTCCACCACAGTCCATCCTAGTCTACCACAGTCCATCCTAGTCCACCACAGTCCATCCTAGTCCACCACAGTCCATCCTAGTCTACCACAGTCCATCCTAGTCCACCACAGTCCATCCTAGTCCACCACAGTCCATTCTAGTCCACCACAGTCCATCCTAGTCCACCACAGTCCATCCTAGTCCACCACAGTCCATCCTAGTCTACCACAGTCCATCCTAGTCTACCACAGTCCATCCTAGTCTACCACAGTCCATCCTAGTCTACCACAGTCCATCCTAGTCCACCACAGTCCATCCTAGTCCACCATAGTCCATCATAATCCTTGTCTAATTCGGCAATACAAGTCCAGACCTCTGATGGACGCACGTCTCACTGACAGAACATAAACAATGCTCCATTCTGGGGGAGGCTGGACTGGAGAAAGTTCTCCTTCATGTCAGGTCCACATAGGAAGGCCGGCATGAGGATGGAATCAGGGACAGGCTGTGCATTGGGTGTGCTATCAAATATAAACCTATTATGTACTAATTCTTATTTTATTTCCATTTCTTTCCATACTCAGCATCATTATGTCATAATATCTGCCCCCCCCCCCCCCGCACCCCCCCCCCCCCCCGGCTGGAACACTTTGCTGGGAGTGCATGCAAATATAAACAAAGAGCAAACAAATCCATTATGGAGGAAGATCCATCCCATTCCTCCATTGTCCTCCCTTTATAAAGGGAAATCCCAATATGTACTCCCATTGAGGACCACTGCTCTGGTCCAGCTACAGGGACTGTTCACATATCACACACACAGGTATATTATGAAGCCTGAACCTCTATTCCAGGCCTCCATTGTCCTCCCATTATACATGGAGGACCTCTGCTCTGGTCCAGCTCTGCTCTGGTCCAGGTCCAAGGACTGTTCACATATCACACACACAGGTATAGTATGAAGCCTGAACCTCCATCCCAGGCCTCCATTGTTCTCCCATTATACATGGAGGACCTCTGCTCTGGTCCAGCTACAGGGACTGTTCACATATCACATGCAGAGGTATATTATGAAGCCTGAACCTCCATCCCAGGCCTCCATTGTTCTCCCATTATACTTTGAGGACCTCTGCTCTGGGCCAGCTACAGGGACTGTTCACATATCACACACACAGGTATATTATGAAGCCTGAACCTCTATCCCAGGCCTCCATTATACTTTGAGGACCTCTGCTCTGGTCCAGGTCCAGGGACTGTTTACATATCACACACACAAGTATATTATGAAGCCTGAGCCTCCATCCCAGGCCTCCATTGTTCTCCCATTATACATAGAGGACATCTGCTCTGGTCCAGGTCCAGGGACTGTTCACATATCACACACACATGTATATCATGAAGCCTGAACCTCTATCCCAGGCCTCCATTATACTTTGAGGACCTCTGCTCT